CAGGAAGTTGTATTTAACCCAGATCCTTTCTATGGTGAAAACCTCTTTCGTCATTACAGACTGGGGACAGCTGGCTCCCATTCTCTTTATAGCAACTCTTATACATTCACAGGCTTATAATGGACGTCCGTACCAACGTCACCAAAGGCATATAGCTTCCTTTTCTTAAGCATTACCAAGAACATTTTCCTACAGTTATCAACAACCAATTGCTTGTACTGTGGAAAGCCAACTCATTGAGCAAATTTCCACAGTGAAGACAATAGCCCATACCCAAATACTCAAGGAATTACCTAAATTACTAATTACCTGTACTCTTATACACTGTTTTAACATTGGCACAGAACAAAGACTAAAACTAGAGTAGAATGCTTATGTCTGTGTAGGGAAGCATGTGGGAATAGCTGGTCTTTGGCCAACTGCCTGCAGCTCTGCTCAAGAATATCACCTCTTCGTGTGAGCAAGGGGAGGCATTCAGAATTTTGACAAATAGCATCCAATCTTGCTGTCTCACTGAAATTTATAGTTCTGTCTCCCCCCCATCACGTATCTCAAACTGTTTCCTCCCTAAAGCATTAAAAATGAAACAAAACCAAAAAACCCTGGAGCAATACAAAAGATCTTCAGATGACTTTTAGGAGCAAACAACATATGTTCTTGAACATCTGTGCTTTTCCCAAGCTGTTTTTTTCCATTATTGTCATGAGAAAAGAAGGTTAGTGGAATGTTTCTCTAGAGAGGCACAAGTCTATAATACTCCCTGTTGATTACATATAAAAGACACAAAATATTAGTTTATTAAAAGCAGCTTCAACCACTGCTGTACAAAGCAGTTCTCTGATGGAGCAGATTTATGAAGTAACAGTTGAGAGGTCATGCAGATCACAAGATACATGACAAATGTACTTTATTACATGGATCAGAAATACCATATGTACTAGCAGTCACCATACAATGATACACAACACCCAACTAATATTTAAAGGTTTTGCTGGTATTGAAAACTATACAGACACATTGTGAGAGTGAGAAAGTGTTTCATAAGATAACATGATGCCAAGAGAAGTCATCACTTTGGAAAATTCAATACATTCAGCATGTTTTAAAATTAATGTATTATAAAACTGTGCCATTCTTTAAATTAAAATGCAAAGGACCTTACCCCATTCATTGTTTAAAGCAGATGTTTATAACATTTGCATACTTTAAAGTGGAACTTAGTGGAATGAATACCAGATTTAACATTAACAAATTTAAGGAGATTTCAGATTTTGTTATTTCCACCAAAAAGATACTTATGTCTGCAATCATGTGGTGCCAAAAGACTGTCAGGGCAAAATAAGCACAATACATTTCGGACATGACAAATTCCTGCAAGGCATTTTCTTAGCTAGAAAGGACTTTAGCAGCTTTCCACCCAAATTTCAAGTACAAGGTTTGAATCCATCCTGCTACCTTCAAGTGGCTGTCCAGCCTTCATTTGACAGGACAGTACTCCCAAGCCTGCCTATTCCATCTCCCAACATCTTAGTCAGAAGGTTCTTCCTTAGATCGAATCAAAATCTGTTATCTCCAAAGATTCCCATGAGAGGCTTTCATTTTACACCCTGGGACACCCTTGCCCACACTTAAGTTACATGACTTCGGACAAATTTACTTGCCTCTTCAAAGCTGTTTCCTCATCTGCAAATAAATGATTACATTTACTTAATAACAAATAAATAAAACAAAAGAATAATGTCCACAGCATTGTTTTAAGGATTAAATGAAATACAGGTCAAGTATTAACACATAGCATCCACTGAATGCTGGTAGTTATTACTATTATTTCACCAAGTGAGTCTCATTTGACATATTTTTCTCCTGGTCTAAAATAGGTGCAAATTGGCACTCGACTACATAAAATTTAGGGATTTTTGGTGAGCAGGCACAAAACTAGCCCTGGTCCTCCTGCTGCCTGATAGGGCCTTGGCAACAGCAGAGTGGTCTTTGACCTGGCATGAGTATGTAACAGCTCCCCACTTCTCCTGAACATCTCCTTGTGATACAGCTATGTGTCTGCTACAACAACACTTTCATATGCTGGAAAACATAGAGAAAAAAGAATTGTATTTTGTGGTAAGCATGAATTTTAATCATCTGCCAGGTGGCATCAGAAATTAGTTACTTAGCTAGTAAACTTACTCAAGTCAAACATCTACATCTCAATTGCAGGAATTCCTTGAAGTCTCATTAGATCCTTCCCATATTTTGTGGCTAGCACTTCACTGCTCTAAACTACATACCACTACCTCTCACTGTCAACACCAGTCTATTTCAGATACATAAATCAAACCAGCTATCTTTTTCTTCTCCAACTCCTAAAGATCATATCCAAGATGTACAGATGCAAATTTCCTAGTAAACAAATACATTCCGTTGCATGTTTATTCTAGGCAATATGTGAACTAGTGGATAAAAAAAGTATCTACATCAATGTGACATTAGAAAGAAAAAATGTGGTCAAAACCCCTTCTTGATTCTACCTTAGACTTTCAGCTGCAGTTCCCATTTCTCCTCTGATTAGTAGCTTGGGCACCACTGACTGAGGATTACAACTTCAGGATTGGGTCAGCCCATTCTAAGGGAGTGCTACCTAGGAAACTCCAATCCAATTAAGGCCAGAGATTTGAGAAGGGTCTATAAATCATCTCTCTACTGAAACCTGCTCTTTATCTGACCCTGAGCCGGCAAACTGGATTGAACTAAAAACAGGTATTCTACCCTAAAACTATTCTATGACTGCAGGATCTGAAGCTTGTCTGAATTTGAATCTCTCCTGGTTTTAGCTAAAACAATTTTAACCATTTAGGCTAAATGGCCTATTTGCCTCAGTTTCAAGTGTAAATAAGAAATAATACTAGCACCAAACTCACAGGATTGTTGGGAAGATGAAATGAGTTAATGCTTTGACTGAAGAGTTCAAGTTTAAATAATTTAGACCAAAGCCTGGCATACAAAGCAACAAATAAATGAAATCAATTTTGATTATCTTAAATGATTTTAAACTTAATTTCTTAAAAAACAAAATCAATGTTACATTTCAATTGTGATTTAGTACACTCAATCTAATTCCAAAAATGATTTGGTGCTTAACTTGAGCTCCATCTGGTGGTTTTACAGCAATGGAAAACATTAGTCAGATAAAAAGATGACACATCTTAAAAACATGAGCTAATCATCAGTAGACTATCATAGACACTGAGAAGTGACCGGTGGTTACCATGGGGGAGAGGTTGGGGCGGATGGTTGGGGAGGGTGAGATGGATAAGGGGGTCACAAATATTGTCCATCATAATGGAAGCTGGTCACGGGGATAGCAGTGCAGCATGAAGAATACAGCCAATGATTCTGTAACACCTTCCTATGTTGACAGATAGTAACCGCACTAGAGGGGGTGAGGATTTAATATGAATTACTGTTGACTGTTGTATATTTGAAATGAATATAACATTGTGTAACACGATACTTCAAAAAAAAAAGATAAAATGTGAAAAATAAAAAGAGCTAATCATTTAAAGGATTAAAGGACTACACTTCACTTCATTTTGGAATGCCAGTCTAAATTTCCTGCCAAAATGTAGAGGTGGGAAGAATCTTGCTTGCAGTACAGTTCAGGAATTCAGTGCCTTAGGGGCCCCAATCACAAGCTGGTGCAGGACAATGGCTCTTTAATAGCCACCTTTCCAGAGCCCATGACATTTAAGAATATTTCTCAAACAGGATAGTGGTGCTTTCATTTTTATTTTTTTAAGTTCAGGCCTGGCTGGACAAATTTCATGACTGGACAAACTCAAGTGAACAGCCTAACATCACTGAGAAGCACTGGATGAAATCTCAAAGCTAATTCCATGAAGTCAAATTAGAGGTTACCAGCCACAGGAAACATAAATATATTCCTGGCATTGGCCTATAACCTCAACTTAAAGAAAATTCAGCTAAAAAATACTTAACAATGCTCCCAAATTTCAAATAAGGACCAAGAGTGTAACATCACTGAGTAGACAATATTTATGATGGTGTTAAAAAATAATAACTTAGCTAGTATATTTAGGCTGATAATGTCAGAGGCTTAATTGAATGCTAGCAACATTTTATTTCATGAATAAACATTTTATGTACTTCTTCCTCACAAACTCTGCTGTTCATAACTGTACCAAAAGGTAAAAGAGGCCATGAATCACATTTATTTTCCAACTCACATCTCCTATTAGCTTCTTTTGAGTAAAGTCATTTTAGTATTTAAAAAAAACTTTTGTTCAGCTACCACTGAGTAAATTGAGAAAAGTATTGTAGTAAACAATTTAAGATTTTACTGATATTAAATTTTACAGATCAAATCTCCTTAAAGATTCAGGTCATGTCTTATTTATCTCTAAATTATGTCCCAGCCTAGCAGTGTGCCTGGCACAAAATCTGTGTCCTGACGACTAACTGACCTTATTTTAATAGACCTCACTTTTCCTCTGAAGCTAAGTCTCTTCTGAATAGACGCCCATGAGGGCAGATGCTGTGACTTGTTCCCTGTGTCCCTAGCATCTGGAAAAGTCCCTGGCACACAGGAGCACTCATAAATATTTGCTGCTCTAGTGACTAGACAATGATGATTAATTTAAGTACAGTGCAACTCTGGAGGGAATGCTAAGTTCAAACTGCTAAACTACAAGTGAAACAGGTTCCTTTACTTCTAGATCACCGTAAGACAATACTAATACAAAATGAATACTTTGTCAGTCTTTAAGTATGTAGCATTCCCCAAATTGATGTGACCACAAAATGTACTTTTTCACCATGCATCTGGAATAACTGGTTTTGAGAAATGCTGCTTACTTCTGGCTACATAATATAAAAGCTGGAGAACATTAAACTAGTTCCATGATGTCCTAAGATGGAGATTTGTACATACTAATTTACACATGTTAATAGTCTACCTAAAAAGGTAAGATTTAGGAAAAATTTACCTGAAAACTCTGGTCTTCTCCACTACTAGAAAACCTAAAAGATATATGAAAGAAAATATCTTAAGAGCTGGACAAAATACCTTTTATTCTGCATTACACAAAATCAAAACTCCAAATGTACTGCTTGTAAGATCCCCTGACACTATACTTTAAAAGAACGTAATTGTTCTCTTAAATCAAGCTCAACTTTTGTCAGCATAGTATCATTTGTTTTACCTTCACTAAGATGAAACAATCACAAACACATTAACACCTGACAGAAGTTTGATGTCTGAATCCGTGCATATTAGCATCCAAGTACCAGGGCAGCTTTCATTCACCAAAGGAAATACTTTATTCAAGTTCCAAAAAAAATTTGAACAGTTTTGTTCAGTGGGTATGAAATGAACAAAAAGGCCAGGTTAACACACAAAAACCAAGTTTCAATTTGGTGGAAGCTGGGATCGATGCAAATGTCCCAATCAAAGCTCTGTCCCGTGGCATTTTTCAAGTCTACCAGGCCAAACCCTTGGCTGCCTTTGCTGCTTTTGCTCTACTTTTCCCTCTCCCTTTCTCTCGCTTTGCCTTCAGCCTTTTTCTTTGTCTTTGGTTCATCCATATAGGGTACTGTCCATGCTGGTCTAGAAGACTCTTTTTGTTCCTCTTGTTTTCAGTCTCCATTTTCATGTCATCTGAATTTAAAATATGGATAAACTATTAATACTGACAAATGAAGAAACAACCCTGTGAAAAAGCACAGTAATGAAATAAGAACATCAAAATTGAGAGTGATCTGAAACTACAAAATTTAAAAAAAATTGTAGAATGCACTTTAACACAGAAAACTCACAGCACATTCAATGGTATCAAACACATGCTGACATGTGTTTCTACAACCATGAATACAAAAGTACTTGTGAGTAACTACAGACATCACTAAGATACTTCCTAAAGACACTATCATGACCATCCAATGGCACAAAAATTAGACAGAAAACATCTAGGACATATGGGTTTGTTACCGCACTGAGAGTAAGTGTATGGTTCTGACCACATGTGATAAGGACATTTCAAAGTGCTTTCTTGAGCTAAATTAGATAGATGAGCCCATGAGAAGTGCCCCCACACTTCTAATGGACAGGCCTTAGAAACAAATGAACTACAAGCATACCTCAGAAATATTGCACATGCAGTTCCAGACCACTGCAAGTGTATTACAAAAAAGCGAATCAAATGAATTTTTTGGTTTCCAGTACATATGTTACATTTACAGTATAATGTAGTCGATTAAGTGTGTAACACAATTATGTCTAAAATAACATACATACCTAATTAAAAAATACTTTACTGATAAATGCTAACCATCATCTGAGCTTTTTCATAGTCTTTTTGCTGGTGGAGGGTCTTGCCTCAATATTGATGGCTGCTGACTGATCAGGGTGGTGGTTGCTGAAAGTTGGGGTGGCTATGGCAAGCTCTTAAAATATAATAATGAAATTTGCCACATCAATGGACTCTTGAACAACTTCTGTGTAGCTGCCTGATAGCATTTACCCATAGTATGACTTCTTGTTCAAACTGGAGTTAATCCTCTCAAAACCCTGCTGCTGTTGTATCAATTAAGTTTATGGGATATTCTAAATCCTTTGCTGTCAATTTCAACAATCTTTACAGCATCTTCATCAGAAGCAGATTCTGTCTAAAGAAACCACTTTCTTTGCTCATCCATCGGAAGCAACTCCTCATCAAAATTCTATTATGTCACTGCAGCAATTCAGGCACATCTTCAGGCTCCACTTCTAATTCTGGTTCTCTTGCTCTTTCCACATTTGCAGTTACCTCCTCCATTGAAGTCCTGAACCCCTCAAAGTCATCCATGAGGACTGGAATCAACTTCTTCCCAACTCCTGTTAAGTCGGTATTTCAACTTCTTCCCATGAATCACAAATGTTATTAATGGCATCTGGAATGGTGAATCCTTTTCAGGAAATTTTCAATTTCCTCTGCCCAGATCAGTCAGAGCAATCCCTATCTATGGTAGCTAGAGCCTTAAAAAACGTGTATCTTACACAGTAAGACTCAAAAGCTGAAATTACTCCTTGTTCTATGGGTTGCAGAATGGGGTATGTTAGAACAGGCATGGATGTGTTAGCATTTATCTCTCTTGGGTTACCAGGTATACTGTCAGTACTTTGAAAGGATCCTTTTTCCTGAGCAGTTCTCAAGACTGGGCTGAAAATGTTCAGTAAACTATGTTGTAAATAGATGTACTGTCATCCAGTCTTTCTTGTTCCACTTACAGAATACAGGCAGAGTAGACCTGGCATAATTCTTAAGGGCCGTACAATTTTCAGAATGGTAAATGATCACTGGCTTCAAGAGAGTCAGCCTGTCTTTTGAGGTTTTGATGCCAGGCATTCAATTCTCTTCTCCAGCTATGAAAGACTTAAATGGCATCTATTCCCAGAAAGCTGTTTCACCTACACTGAAAACCTGTTGTTTAGTGTAGCCATCTTCATTAATTATCTCAATTAGACCTTCTGGGTAACTTACTGTAGCTTCTCCATCAGCACTTGCTGCTCACCTTGAACTTTAATGTGTGAGGATGGCTTTTTTCCCTAAGCCTTATGAACCAACTCCTGCTAGCTTCAAACTTCTCATCTGCAGCCTCTCACCTCTCTCAGCCTTCATAGAAATGAAGAGAGCTAGGTCCTTGTTCTGGATCAAGCTCTGACTTAAGAGCATGTTGAGGGTGCTTTGATCTTATATCCAGATCACAAAAATTTTCAGTTTATCAGCAATAAGGATGCTTCATTTTCTTATCATCCATGTTCACCAGAGAAGCACTTTTAATTTCCTTCAAGAACTCTTCCTTTGCATTCACTTACTTTGCTAACCATTTGGCACAAGAGGCCTAGCTTTCTGCCTATCTCAGCTTTCAATATGCCTTCCTCACTAAGCTTCATTATTTGTAGTTTTTGATTTAAATGGAGAAATGTACAACCTTTTCTTTCACTTAACACCTAGAGGCTATTGTAAGGGTTTTCAATTGGCCTAATTTCAATATTATATCTCAGGAAATAAGACCAGAGGAGAGGAAGAGAGATGGAGTAACAGCCAACTGGTGAAGCAGTCAGAAAACATACATTTATCAATTAAGTTTGCCGTCTTATATGGTCACGGTTTTCAGTGCCCTCAAACCATTACAATAGTAACAGCAAAGACCACTGATTGCAGATCACATAACAAAATTAATATAGAAAAAGTATGAAATATCACAAGAATTACCAAAATGTGACAGAGAACATGAGCAAATGTTGTTTGAAAAATGGTGAAAATAGATATGCTTGACACAGGATTGCCACCAACCTTCAATTTGTAAAAAGCACAGTATCTGCAAAGTGCAATAAAATGAAGCACAATAAAACAAGGTATTCTACATTAGGAATGACTGGCTACTTCTAATGAAGGGTACATGGAAGAGGTAGTTGTAGCAAGCCTAGCAAGTTATGACGAAAGAGATGAGCAGATAGGAGAAAAAAACACTTGGATATATCCTGGGGCTGTCATAGATTAACACCCAAAGATCCAGCTCTACAAACTAGAGGCTTGGCAGGAAACTCAGTGCAGCCATGTTGTGATACCTATCACCAACCTTATCTATTGTGAAGGACATGCCCAGAATGTTCCTCCCTGAGAAATTACCATGGTAGACAAGGTCTTCCATGATCTCCACCACCTAAAATTATATTAATTCACTTATCTTGTTTATTTTGTCTTCTCCAATACAACACAAATACCATTAGGGTGGAGGCCATTTCTCTGATAACATTTTTTCCTCAGTACCTAGACTAGTGCCTGGTATACATTAGTCAATCAATTAACTAGTTGTTTGAATGATTACTTTAAGTGCTGTTCTAGGTTGTAGCGAGATACTGGTCCAAAAATGTTCCTTGTTCTCATGGAGTTTACAATATTCAGTTGAGGGGAGAAAAACAAAGCAAACTTCAGCCTGTGATAAGCCCCTCTTTTATGACACATTCCAGAACCAGGTTAAGTAGGACCTTGTAGGCTCTGGTAAGCACATGGAAAGGCAATGAGGTTTTTTAAGCATGGGAATGACATCATGCAATTTATTTTCTAAAAAGATCAGACTGGTCCATTTTGTCAAAAATTAATGAGGAAGGAGGAAGAGCAGAAGAGAGAAGTAAAAGGCTATCATAGTTCAGGTAAGAGATAACGGTCATTTAAAGTGAAAGCATGAAGGCAGGAGAAATATGGATAGATTCCTGATATATTCTGAAGATACTCAAGATACGCTAATATTTAGAGGTGGGGGGGTAAAAGAAAGAGGAAATCAAGGATAACCACAAAGTTTGTGGCTTAAGAAATTGGATGAGTAAAGGAATAGAAATATGGGGAAACACGAGGGCAGAGATGAAGAACCACATGGAAAACAGGTAGTTTACTAAATGGGGACTCTCCCACCCTCAGTTCCACCCCCATTTATCTCCTGAAATACTCCAAGAATGAGGGTAGCCAGACATCCCCTCAGGCAGGAGATGAGAGATTCCTCTCTCAGAATAATGAAAGAAGAAAAAAGACCTACACACTCTGGTACGGGCGATCTCCTACAACAAAATTTCCTAGGGCAATCCAATCATTCTGTAAATCTAACAGTTGAGAAGGACTCCCCCATACCTTGGTCCCCTCCTCCCAGGCCTCCATTCATCACTTTAGCACACCAGTTTTAAATAAAAACTGGACATCAGAGAAAAAATATGAGAGAGAGAAACAAAAATAAGGGAATGGAAGGGGAGAAAAGAACCCAAGGGGAAAGATAAACAATGTATAGAGTTAATCAGAATTTCTAAAACAGACTAATAAATACTCTCAATGAGATCAGAGAAGATACATATCCATTCAGAACCACAGGCTATACAGGAATAGTAAAAGGAAGGGGGGGAGGGAAAAACTTTTAGAAATTAAAAATATGACAGCAAAACAGCAAAACTAAACAATGTTGAGGATAAACAGAAATTAAAAAAGAAATAGAAAACTGGAGGAAAAAAATAAGAATATTAAGTCCAAAAGCCTCAAGAGTGAA